ATGCTAAAGTACACTACCTATCTGTTCTGTCAAAGACTTGTAAGAGACAAGGGAAATGTTAATTTTAAGTTTATAAAGAAATAGAAAGAAAAAGGCACTGTGGAATCCTACAGGCTTCCTGACTTCCTTTTAACTTTCAAGGTCTTGCAACATTTATAAGGTTTATGAGGATCTTGAGTCCATCCTTGGAGTCTCCAGAGCTCCTGTTCCTTGGTCTTGTAAAACTCCATAGATCTTAAAGGTCTCCAGAGCTCTGGATATGCTTGAGTCATACTGCTTTATGAAAGCTAAGGGGCAGCCTGTAAGTTCTTTTCTCTCCTCTATTTCTTGTCTTGCACAAATTACTGAAAGTCTACGCTGGATCACAAATTAACTCTGTCTACACTACACAAGCTTTCTTTAGTGCTCTTCTTGTCAGGCAGAATTATTGAAAGGTGAGGCAAGATTTCTTTGAATGTACTCTCATAAAACTGTTACAGCCTTTTGTTTTGTTTTGGGTTTTTATTTTGACTGGGTGAACTTGGAGACAAAAGGCTTGGACAGTGTTTGTTAAACTGCTGTCAGATTTACTAGCAAATGATTGCATGAATCATTTCTAGTCTTTCTAATATTTCTAGGAAGTTGTATGAGCGGTAAATGTTGAGTTCAGAAAATTGACAGTGTTGCTCCAGTTAAAGTTAACCCTCTATCAGGGTGACTCTGGTAGCTTGGGACTAAAAAACATGCTGACCATATCTATTTTGCAGAGAATTATAGGGTGCCACATTCCAGCAAATCTATTCTGGCTCAAATAAGTGTCAGAACTATTAAAGAAGCCAGAGAAACATACGAAATTTGAATGCGCAATATGTTCCTTCATTTCTGAAGACCACAGAGTGGTTTGAACTAAGAAACACTCAGTGAAGAGATGAGAGAAAGATGATGTGAATCTGAGGTGCCAATAGCTAACAAAAGCTCACTTTTGTGCCAAAGTCCTGGCAGTAGCTACTAGTTTTGCTTAACCACAGTATCCTTGATTCAAAGATTACTCCAGCAAGAACATCCAATATTTAAACAGTAGATTGCTCAAAAGCTCAGCAGCAGCAATTTATGAACTAGCGTTACACAGAAATGTTATGGGCTGGAACTTAAACTCAAGGTATTCATTACCTTTGAACTTTTCTGAATGCTCCCTTTCAGAGTAAATATGGAAGATTACCCAAGCAGACAGAACTCCAATTACAGGGACAACAGAGAGCCCAGTAGCATCATGGCAGATTCAGGAAAAACTGCACGTGCTCTTCTTCCAAGTACATGTAGGGATAAACTTTTATTTCTTGTTTTAGACACAGGGAGGGTGAATCTCCGTTTGCAGCTTGTTATTAGCATTGCATTGTAATTCTCATTCTCACTCTAACTGAGGATGCCTGACCTATAGCTTTCAAGCTGTGAGCAGCTTGTTAGGACACTTCACCCAGACCACTGACAAACAGTGAGAACTTCAGTCTTCCCAATCTAAGTTTATAGCTTGGAATTAATGTTTGCTGTGTGGTTGCCACAGGAAAAGACTCAGGCTGTAAAATAATTTTGGCGGTGGCAGCAAGTCACTGCTAGCCACCACCCTGTCTCTACTCCTTCCCCTCCCCAACATGAGGGGTACAGATGTAGTCATACGGCACAGAGAGCTGCAATATTCAGACCTCTCCTGACACTGGATGAAAATAGGTGATCCACATGACCATCAAGGCTGGACACTTCAGGTGTAAGGATTACAAGGAAAAGTGACAAAGTTCAGAAAGTTTATGTTACTTCCACACTGTTGTGCGCAGGGCAAGTCACCATATCCGTCTCCTCTGCAAACACTGAAGCACAGCATTATTAAAACCTCACAAAATTAAAAAATGCAGGTAGTTTCCTCTAAAATCTACAACGAACCTAGGTTCCTTGTGGAATCTACAAGGAACCACATTGCTTCATGACTGGAGCAGGTGTTTTGGAAAACAGAAAGACATTTGGAAGACTGTTATCTCCACAACTCCAAATGTACCTTTTATCAGGTTACAAAATATTTTCTTAGAAATCATGTTTTCCTATTTTCTTCAGGAATTATCTTGGTATTTCCAAGCTCCTACTATTTCAAAGCCTCTTTGAAACAATACAGCAGTACACTCCACACACCAACCTGGAAATGTTTTCAGCAGGGAAAAAAAAAAAAAAAAAGACTCAACAAGCTAATGTCATCTCTTCCAAGAAGCTGAATTGACAAGTTTATATCCTAGGACCCAGCTGAGCAGGACACTTCAGGACTGCAAGCACAAGGGTAACCACAGAGAGTTCAGTGGGACTGGCCACATCTCCTACCCTGCACGGAGCCCCTTGACACTTTTTTTACTCCAGTTTGTCTAGGTTCCAGAAACAGTAAAATGTACAAGCTTCCCAGCTGATCTCTTGAAGACTTCAGGTGAAGGAAATAAACTTTGAGAAATATAGCACCTTTGAAACAGCTTATGCCTACAGGAGTACAAAAAGTCAGTTATACACTACAGGACTGTAGCTGAAAAATAGTTCAGGATTATTTTCTTCATCTAGTGTAACCTTTTCAAATCAAGTTCCAATTTCATGCTATCAGAACATATTTTATGGCTCTTTCCAGTTCTGGCCACATGGAATGCTACTCTACAGGATATAACCATCTGCTAACAGAAAAGATATTAAAGCAAGTAATGGTAGAATTGTATCTCTGAGAGTAAGACATTCTACTGAGAGTTTATATCAGGAGAATCCTACAAAATGCATCAGACTTTTATATAACTTTTGGGCTGCTCCCCCAATTAGCAGCCTAAACTACTAAAATAGTTTCAACCATCAGTTATTGATAAGCCACTTAATCCTATGCTCTTCCTTTTGTTTTAGCCTATTTTCACATCAACCCTGAGGAGGCAGTACAAATAGCTAGTCTTGTGGGTAACATAAGAGTTGGTGAACAGAGTAACATTTCTGTAGTTCTTAAATTTCTGTTCATGGGTCATATCCTCCCTTTCATGTTACTCCCAATTTTGACTTCACTGCTCTTAAACAGAAGCAAATGAAGATTCAAATCAGCACTGTTTTCCTGGGCCAGGAATTAATGATTTTTGAGCCTTTGGGCCATTTTCTACTCATAACATAACTACAAAAAGCAAAGAAAGCTTCCTGATGATTTTTTTTCATACCACTGCCAGAAAACTGTGCAGGGCATGCAAACTGGATAAAACCAAAACCTACTGCAGGATAGATAAAATTTAAAAAAATCATAATGCATTAGAAAGCCTACTGGTCCCCTTTCTTCTCGTAGACATTGCAGGACCACCATCCTATGCATTTCCCAGTGTTTGATTCCCTTTTCCTTTCTTCTTTCTGACTCCACAAGTCTCAGGTTCTTCTACCTACTTAAGTTTCCATAGGATAACACATGAATCCAGATTTGTTACTGAGAACAAAAGCGAGATAACAGAGTTCATTCACAAAGAGACTGATATGAAGAGACCCACTGGTAGGTACTGCCTGTACATTTACAAGCCTGCAATTTCCAAGTAAGATCTGTATTGTGCTACACTGAGCACTATCCAGATAACAACGAAAAGAAGGTTCCTGCCCTGAACAACCTGCAATTTAGAGCACAACAGAGATCATCATCTTGTGGTCTTGTCCTCACACAAACCTGCAAAGATTTCTAAAAGATCCTCAGTGAAATTGAGGCTGATTCAGGAGAACATGGATGGGATTTTTGTCTGAAATGAAAGCCTAGCTGGGAACTTTGGCTCCCTAAAGCCAGGGTTTCTTTTTTCAATGAGATCTTGCTCTGAGAGAAAGTGGAGTATGAAGCATCTGGTTTTAACTGTGGTGGTAGATAGTGTTTGGTCATCTGTCATCTTACAAAGAAAGAGAAGAAATAAATGAAAACACCTCAGCTCTAATTCTCTTACAAGATCTTCTGCCTTTCCATTTCCTACATGGGAGATTCCTGCCCAGATGCTGAACTGTTGTCGCCTTTCTGGACACGAACCTTGCATGACTGCCCAGCAGGGCTGCCAGACACCATGCAAACCTGTCCCTCCATTCTTGATAGTTAAATAAAATAAGATACATATCATAATAAAATAAAATTTAAAAAAAACCCAATGTCTTGGAGAAGAACAAATAAGGCTGTTGCAGAATAAACAAATATCTGACATTATTCTTCTAAGTATTAATCTTTCCCAAGGCTTTGAATTTTGACAGTGCTATTTCACAAATTCCTATGAGGCTGCTTTACTGCTATGCTAGAAATCTGACTGTGGAACTGAGGAGGAAAAGAAGAGGAAGGTTCTCAAACAGAAAAGAAATATTTTAGTCTGACTGGTGAGTATTTCTGTTTCTTGCTGCCATGAATTTTCTGTATCTTGCAAAAACGGAGAGGATATGACACCTTCTAAAACAAATGGAAATAACTAAATCCCAAATCTGTTGTGAAAAATCATCTGCTCTCCTCAACTTTCCAAAAAAACGCCCATATCTTTAGTGACTTCAATCAAAGTTTGGATAAAATCATGATTTGCGATCTCTGCATTTCTTAACAAATTTTCTCTTCCCTGCTTTTTTCTACGTGGCAGTTTTGTGACTTTTTAATAATGTCTTGGCCACCTAGCAGCACTGACAAAAGGTAAAAGAATTCTGTAAGAGCAAGTAAACCCCTCTTTCATGTGACATAGAAATGCTTACACTTCATTAACCTTTATTATAAACTACTCACTGGAAAAGTTACTTTGTTAGAATCCACACTATGGTTTCACCCTACAAACCATGAAATGTCAGAATGCTAAATTACAGTAAAATACTGCTCACCTCCTTATGAACCCAAGATTAATGATACGGTGCAGAAGGGAATAGCAGTGCTACTAGGAGCGTAACAGGTCACAATCACTTCTGAAATAACTCATCAAGAACAAGCAGCAAAACATCCCAGATGATTCCCAGAACTAAAGTCCCACTTCTCAACCTACCCATCACTGAGACATCATATTCAACCAGCAGAGTCGCCTCCTGTCCGCATTGTTTGAGAATACTCATGGCTTCAGCATGTGTTGTTCCGAGCAGCCGGATCCCATCAACACTCAGCAGTCTGTCCCCAGGCTTGATTGTGCCCTCTCTGAGGGGAGATTAAAGGAATGATCTTTATTAGTATAGGATAAATTGATTTGGAGATAATACCATTTTTAAGCAAAGCAATTCTCTCACACCCTCTCTGACATCCATCTTGCCTTAACACTTAACATTTACTTTGACAGTGAGAACATTCAGAGGGCACAGCAGAAAGGAAATCGCTTTAATTGAAAAGTCAGCAACTGGAAAATGGCTTAACACATAGCTAAATAATAAAAATCATGTTAAACTGTAACTAAGTATAGCTTCTGTTTCAACATATGCTTTCTTTCTGCCTTGTCCACACAACTCTTTCATACATACATAAACACCTCCTCCTCTGCTGTTTTCTTAAAAATAAATACGAAGTGCAAACACATGGGTGCAGAAAAAGATTGCAAAATATGAATGTCCATTTACTGATTTTCTTAAAAAATATCTCTTACTTGGATAATTCAATTTTTCTTTTTTTCCTACCTAAAAATAATTTGGCTATAAATGTACACTGTCTCCCAGGCATACCTTGTAACATATTCAGAATTATAATAGCAAGTGAAGTACTAACATTGTCAGCTCAAGAATCAGAGATAAAAACAAAGAAGCAAGGGGGATGAGGGTGGGAAGAAACGAAGGGACAAAAGACAAATGCTCTCTTGAAATGTTGCTTCTTAATTAATATTTCCAAGGTAGAAAATGTCAACATAGGCTACAGAAAATAAGTCTGCTTTAAAGAAATAGCCCTTTAAGTTTCTTTAATTTTTTAAGGACACAAATGGCATTTTTGAAAATATAATTCATACATATAACGTGAATATTCTTTCTTTATACAGATACAAGATAGTATTATATACAAATATGTTCATTGGGCCAAAGCGTAAATCTGTACTCAGAAGTTGTCCAGGTGAAGTTATGTGTGAACCTACATGCAGATACTTACAGATGTCTTAAAATAATAATACAACAACACCCAAACACATGACAGAATTTTTCTGAAGTACAAAAGAAAGAGATTGTGGTGTTAGAGTATAAAAAGCATAATTAAGAGCTACACCAGTTGCCTGCAGGCTGCAAAAAAAGGTACTCCGACCTATTGCATTTTTTCTAATTACTTTAGGTTGATTTTTGAAAGTGTTTAATGGGAAAGTATTGAAACATGCAACATAATTAAAGTTCACACACACACCATGATGTGCTAAGCCTCTGTGGTTGCCTATTACTGTTAGTATTTTTACAAAACCATGAATTTCAAAGGAACAGGTTTGAATATATCTACTTCACTCCAAATCCCAATTTCTGTCCCAAATAATCCACCTTTTTCCCTTTCTCTTTCACATCCACTCCAGAGAAAGATGAATTGTACCTGTCAGCAGGCCCTCCAGGTCTAACACATGTTATTACAACAGGACGAGATTTATTTCTGTCATCATGTGCTCCACCTAGAAAAGAAAAAAGTGAGAGAAAGCACACCTTCATTTTATGTTTTTTATGAAAGCTCATTTCCAAGAGGCAAGTCTAAATCTTGCAAAATGTACACTTACAGATGGGCTAAGAAGATCAAAAAATGGCCAAGTCATTAATATGAACCTCCACTGAATTTTATCTTAAATAAAATCAACCTACTGTATGGTATAGATGATTCTTCAAAATATTTCTACAGAGTGATTCTTAATAAATATATATTATTTTCTTAGAACTTCTATTCCACAAATCTGGCCTCAATGTGAAAACTTACTGTTCTGCAATGTTTGCTGTACAGAGAAAAAAACATCTGTACTTCATGTATGCTCAGAATAATGAGTGGCCACTAAGGAATTTATATATTAAATAAAAAGAATAGTTTTCCCTGAAAAAACTAATAATTCATCACTCGGGTGTATTATTTAACAGCTGCATGTTTTCTTGTGTTCTCTAAGCCAGTGATAATACTTTTGTTGTACAATTCTGACTATCAGCATGAATAATCAGATTTCATATCTAATTTATACAAATACTATGGGTGAATCTTTTTCAAGAACTACATTCTTCCTGCTGATTTCAGTGGTAGCACAATCTGGTCTTATGTGAAGCAAAGTTTGTAATGTTCTTGTCATTGTTGACAAATTACTGTTATTCCATAAACAAAAATTAGAGCAATTCATAAAAGCAGGACATTAATGTACGGAAAAAGTAATATATAAATCACAGAGATTTTTACAAACTGTAAGCTATAAATCTTGAAATAATTTCTTAGCGCAACAAACACTTACTGCTTTTTTTTCTAATTTAGAAAATACAGACCAGTTCACATTTAATGATAACTCACCTCTTATTACAAATCCAAAAGTGTTCCCCTCTTTATGTAAAGTAACTTCCACAGTTCTAAAGATGAGACCTGATCCTTGTACAGCTGAAAGGAAAAAAAAGAGAAGAAAAAAATTCCTGAACTTAATTATTTTCTAATTATACACACATTTCTTCCAATTTAAGCTAGTTATTGTGGTTCTGGTCATATAACTGGAAAGACTCTACTACAGAACAGTCAGATTAAAGACCTGTAATTAAATACAATTCATCATCTTGAGAGAATTTTGGGCCAGATATTTTGCAGATTGTCAATGGTTTGGAAAAATAGCCACAGATGCATATAACAGACAAGGAATTTGAGCCTTACTGTTTAAATCGTGGCATAATTTTGCTTTTCTTATAGTTACAGAAGAGACTTAGAAAAGATGGAAACACACAGTAAGAACAAAAATGACAAATTAAATTCTTAAAAAGCTACCTATGGAGTTAGTTGTTCAGCCATGAAAACATTTATGTGGATTGCTTAAAGTCAACACAGTTGAGATTTTTAGGGTGCATCTCTAATCTCAGATTGCTGGATTAAGATGAATAAAGTCTTTTGTATCATAAGGATTTGTTATTTTTTTCCTTTTTCAAAATGTACACGCTCTCTCATCATTGGCAAGTGAGTAAAAATCTTTAACTTCTAGTTGACTCAGTATTTTCCCTGTAAGCACTAGAGGAATGATGCACAGCTGGGTCAGGAGGTTAGAAGCCTAACGCACAAAACAACACATTTGGGTGTGATAATCCATTTTACAGAATTTGAAACTACTGCTGCTAAGAGACCAACGACCAGTTTACTTTTAGCTTTTACAGGAAAAACTTTGGCAGAGTGCGAGGGTTTCCAAAGGGAAAAGGACACTGGGCAAAATCAAACACACTCACACTTCCCAGCTTCCAGTAAGATACTGCAAACAGCACAACATGCATAAAGATTAAAAAATCCTCTATAAAGTAAATATTATGTGAGCAGCAGAACTAATGAAAATTCATGTCCTTTAATGCTCCTGCCTGCAATAATCAGTTTCCCTGGTCCCCATTAGGATACCCTGATGGGGCCATGGACACCACAGGCTACACAGATGGGGAGGGATATGCTGCCACCCATAAGTGACCCCAAGGAGAAGTGGTACCTCCCCAGCACTGCTTGCCTCTCCAACTGAGGACTCCTCTGGTCTGAGACTCTCTTCTGCTCAAGTGTCTATTTCCATGAAAGGTGCTGTAATGCACTTTTATTTATTTTTTTTTTAATCTTTCAATTACCTGTTAAAAAAGTTGCCGCAGGGAACCAGAAGAACAATCCTCTGGAATCGCAGAAATCTCACTCCCTTAGGAAAACAGGCAAAAGATGGCCCTCCAAAGCATTTCTTTGTATTGCAGTAATTCCTGCAACAGCTTCAAAATCAGGACTCTGTTACTGAAGTCCATGTGGCTGATTCCTTTCCAGCTAGAATTGTTTTACTGCCTGAAGAGGACGAAAGCATGGCAGGAGAAGGCAGCTTTTGCCTTCATTCCTATCAACTGAAAGTGGCCCAGGATGTAGCTCAAGCTGAATCTGTGCTTCCTAATCTGCTTGGTGTGGCTTGTAACCTCCACTGGGGACAAGCAAAGCCTGTAGCTCAGCAGCGAGGAATGGCATGGAGCATCCTTCTACCTGGGCAACAACCATTCAGGTGGCTGTCCTTCCATCCAAACCACAGCCTGGGAGTGGAAACAAGCCCTTAACCTTTAGCAACAACAAAAGGTAGATGTGAGGCAGGCATGGCTCACATTCCAGTTTGAAACATCAAGGTGGCTCATGCTGAAAATTGCAGTTGGATGCTCCTGCTGTGAACACTGCCAGACAGGGAAGGAAACACTAGGGAGAGTGCTCAGCCTGATTTAATCCATCATTATTAAAGTACTGACATTTCCCCACTCTGAAACCATGACAGTCCTCTCTCTGAATAGGTATCCATGAGACCAAAAGTAGAACTTCATTATGTATGGGGCAGGGAAGGAGGTGCCAGGACTTCACCGCGTGACCTACTGGAAAACTTCTGCTTACGATGAAGGCGCTGTGTCTAGCTTGTTCACTAGAAGTTAATGGGAACAACTAGACTGCTAATATTCTCCAACTTTTATTAGCTATGCTTGTATGAAGGGGTCAGAAATTCCAAAGACTTAAAGAAAAACTATGATTGCTTCCATAATTTAGCATGTGAAAATCCTGTTTCAGTGGACAAGAGTGGCACATACACCAAAAGCAGATGAAATGGAAGGAAGCCCACTTGAGTACGTGCAAAACAACGCTCTTAAAACAACTACGTCTCCAGAAAAATAATTCCAGACTCAGCTGACTTCTTTAACTCAAAAACTGTGTTTTTGAACATGAAGTTCCCTTACCACAAATGAACACTAATCAACAGAGAACATACAAATCATAGTAAGGTGGTTGTCAGGAGGTCATAAAGCAACCAAGTATGTAATTAGGCTAAATCTCCAGCTGCTAGAAAGCAATGGGGAATTCCTCCTCTTTTAAGCACCAAAGAGAGTGATGGATGTTTTTTCTTCTTTTGCAAGGGAAGTCCTTATTTAAGGAGACAAGAGTTTCCTAGCTGCCTCCAGAGATTTTTCTGGCCACAAAGCAGCAAACCACATCTTCTTCCCTCCAGTAGGAAGCATGAAGGAGCACATACTCCTTCAAAGGTGTGACTAGTGCAGCCCCCTTGGTGCCAGCCAGCCACCTGGCACTCATTCCTTCACTTTAGGTCCCAGGTTTCCACTCATCATTTCTCTAGTTTTTACTTCACACCTGATAGCCTCAGTTCCCATTGATTTTCTCCTACAGACACAGCCATAGACATAAGCACAAAAAGAAAGAGCAAAGGAGAGGCGAGGAAAACATTCAGTAGCACTCTGTGACTTCAGTGTCAGCATAAACTTGTATTTTGAAGACAATCCTGCTCAGCGAGAAGCTCTTGTTTAAATTACACAATTCTTGCAGGTGTGTCTACCAAAAATGAAGATCAGCAACCATGCCCATCTCATTGATGAAAACACATCTGCTATTCTGTATAGGCTTCAGTTTGCTCTGCCATTACTTACAGACTGGAGGCAGCTCATACTCCACTTCTAAAACAACCCTCTCGCCAACATTCTTGAGCAGGCTGATGATCTCATCATGGCGAAATTTGGTCAGGTTGATTCCATTCACAGATTTGATGTAGTCGCCTATGTCCAGCTGGTCACTCCTAGGGAAAAGTACATATTCCTTCTGTTAAATACAGATCTGCTGGCCCAAACTAATGAAATCCTTTAAATTACTGAATAGTGACGATAAGAAATATTTTTTCCATTCATCTACACTAAAACAAGTTGATCTTTCAAACAGAAAGTGGTATTTTAAGATCTTAGTCCAGGCTAGCTTGTTAAATATAAAAAGAAGATCATTGTTGCATTATTAATTTCTGATGTACAAAAGCAGCTGTACAATAAAGGACTTGGATGATTTGACTGGTTTGAGCACAGGATCTAGAAAAACATCTTCTTCATGTCCCCATCTTTCTCTCTCTCTTTGAGAAGCATCCAAAACGATTTTTTTTGGATCTTAGTTGCTTTCACAGCTAACATCACAGCTACAGGAGATAGGCCACAGCCCAAAAGCATGAATTCTGCTCAGTTACTTGGAATGATTTAGCTTAATCTTTATATTTTGACCTGTTTCACTCATGAATAACAGCTTTTTTGTTTCCACTGTAGTAGCAAGCAAGGCAGCTATGACTTTAGACTTCTTTTTAATCTTAAAACCAGTTGATGAACAGTTTTTAAATTAAATTATGGCAATACTATAGTTAGGTTTTCAATTTTACTTTTTCCTGTCAGTATTTTCAAGCTAATTCTCTCAAGTTTGTGCTCAATGATACAAAAAAGGAGAGAGAAAATGTATATAATTTAGAAGGAACTTAATTACTTTTATGATGACTTTTAAATATGTCATTGGTATTTCTAGTTTTTGCTAAAGTAGCCTTGAGGGAAGAGGGGGACCAGCTGTTGCTGTTTCTCCCTGAGCTCCTCCGGTCTGACGGGCTGCCATTATAGATGCATCTAGTCACATATTTGTTAGTGACCTTTCTGATGCGGTACGTATTTCTGAAGCAATCACATCTTATAATGCATTTTGTGGCTTGAGATGTGGTTACCTAGCAGCGATTCCTCCTTGACGAAGGTTAGATACTCTTGGTTTCCCATCCTTGTCGATTCCACCAGATACTGTAAGCCCTAGGGTGGTGCCTTCTTTTTTCATTAATTCAACTATTGTTGAGCCCTTGAATTCCTCTGTTGAAAGAAAATTATCGGCATTATTAAAATTTAAGTGATAACACAGATGTTGCCTTTCTAAAATGGCACCTACTTCCCAAGAAAATTATTGTGTATGTTAATAAGAAATAATGTGTACATCTGGAGATTCTTTATGTTACAATTCACAAGTTCTGTCTGCAAGGCTCTGCATATAGATAAATCTGAGACATATGTTCTGTAAAAGGTTATTAAAAACTACAACTCTGTGATAGTATACTATACGGAGCCTGTAAATACGAAGTCTGGCAAAACAACATTGTATTAAAAATTGTTTCCCATTTTTAAAGTGCTATCTTTTCTCATTTTCTCCTTTCTCCCTCTGAACTCTATGTTTTATAAAGTACTTCAACTAATTAACTAAATACAAGGGTAAAAGACACAATGATATAACAGTACTAGAAAATTTTAGGTTCAGACTCACTTTGAGGCCACTAGTTGATGTCAGTGTTAATCAAAACGACTGAACATAACAAGAATCCAGATGCAGATTAAATACAGTAGATCTTAACAGTTTTATTCCTTATTCTTACACAAATATATCTCCACTGTAGCTCTGAAATCCCTGCAGAACAGGTATAAAGTAAGTGAAGGGCTTTCACAGTCATAAGTGTATATAAAATTTCCCTCACGCTGCCTGGGACACCCTCTCCTGCATTTATCATTCCTGGAAAATGCCAAACTAATCCCATAGACCTCAAAAAATATCAGTCACCTGCAATGGAAAGCCTCAAGCTCTCAAAAAGAGATGTCCTTATTGCACATGGCTGGACAAGCACAGGGCTGTAACTGTTTGGAAAGCCACGAGGCAATAATACCTCATGTCCAATGCTTCCAGCCAGTGAAGACCTATTAAAACCACCAGCTACCCAGCTCTCCTGGAAAAATGCATGAAGTCCTCAAGATCCACCTAGGAAATGATGAAATCCTGGATGGATCATCCATCTCTCTGGTCCTTTTCAGCATCAATATGCAGCTTTTAGATGAATTGGTCGGATACAAACATCATATATGCACTGTAAACAAACAGTATGTCTGCACTGCGCTAGCAATCTTGCTGTGGCAGCATGAGATTTAAAGATGAAAAGCCACCCAAAAACCAAGCAAGTTCCTTGTATACATTCATACATTCACCAGTAAGGTCTAGAATAAGCACTATATAAACCGCAAGAAGGCTCTATCAATACCTTTCCATATGACCAAAAAGATCACAGAATCACAGAATGTTGGGGATTGGAAGGGACCTCAAGAGATCATCCAGTCCAATCCCCCTGCCAAAGCAGGAACCTAAACAAAATTACACAGGAAGGCGTCCAGGCGGGTCTTGAATGTCTCCAGAGAAGAAGACTCCACAACCTCCCTGGGCAGCCTGTTCCCAATACGTCTTGACCTCCAGATGGAGAACAGCTGCCCTGAATGAGAACTGCCAAACCTGAGCGATACAGAGATAATGGTGCAGAGGAAAGCATTTAGAAGACCCTCCAGTCCTAATGGAGTATCCTGTAAACCTTGGTAGTATGTCTAATAGGGTTAACTGCTGAATCTTCTGCAGATGTATCATCCTATGCACTGTTCCTGCTCCTCTCTAGGTGGCTGATAGGCTCTTTCTGATGATGACCTCATATTTTTATGTTATTCACATTTTTACCATTATACAGCATGAATAAGTGTTTGGGCAATAATTCTCCTATGCTTATAAAGCTTCTACTAAGAAAAAATTTTGCAGCGTATTCAGTTAGCAGCATGAGTTGTTGAAGTGAGTATTTAAAAAGTGTAAAGTGTATTTATAAAAAGATAAGATTACAAGAGACTGTGGGACTGTTCAAAAAGTGCCTCTATTCATTCAGAAGCAGACAGTAGCATAGCTACCTGGTACATTCTCCAACTTGGCCGACACCAAATCATCATTTGGTGTCATTTGGAAGACAGTAAGCTTCTATGATTCTGGCCTTTCTGACAGTTCAGAAAGAACAAATGTGATTACTTGCATCTGAACATGTAGACATGTTGCACAGCTGTAGAAGATGCTATGGACCAAAATGCTACTTTCAGTTTTATAAAAAACTGCAAGTATTCATAAGCATTACAAGAGTTAGGCATGGTACCTACTGCAACCCCCAAATACTGTACATTTGTACCCATGATACAACCTGAGGTGCCTGGTCAGTGTGTCACAATTGTTTATTCAGAGTTTACTTGATCATGAGATATGGACTCAAAAGGAAAATTCCCTTCTCTCCCTCACCTCCCAAACTGAACCTTCCTTTGTATTTCTCAGTAGTATAACCTGTTTCTCAGGATGTCCTGGTTTTGCTAGGATAGAGTT